TCTAGTATGAAAAATGACCATAAAATTTTATATCCAATATATATTTGATCACGGGTGATGCTTCTTCTTTGACATGTTTGAGCCTTCAAATCTCTATTTCACCTTATTACACATGCATACTCGAGGTGATCCCACTTCACCCTATCCCATATAGGCCTGACGATACCACATAATTGAAAATTTACTAATTTAGCCTTAGCCCATAAACCTTGAAATCTAATTTCCAACATCCAAAAACTTCTTTTTAAGACCTGAATTTCACATCTACACACTGTATAAATTTGAGCAAGTTGTATTAAGTTGTAACCATAACCTCAGATATAATCACACAACATACTATACAACTCGCATATTTGAAGCACCATTCCCAATCATAGTAACTACTCAAAACCAACCAAGTACAAGTATTAAACCCCACTTTCCATAAAACCCCGTTCCAAAACCTTTGTACACTGCCGATGTTATTCTCCCAAATATACCATAATCAAATTCGATAGTACTCATTCTAGGTCCAATGACTTCATCTCATTAAAGCTAACCACTTTATTGACATTCAACCCCAATATTTCTAACCAACTCCTCAAATTTCGTGAAAAGAATATCCGTAGGTGCATGTGCTCAATTCCTCAAATACCCTGCTCAATAATATTATAGCACGAAAAGGAAGGAAGGGCAATTAAATCAGATAAACGATCGAGAAATTCGCGAATTCTACGCGTTGCATGGTATAGTCCCAAGCCTTCAATCCAAATATACCATATGGGAGTATTTAAATAGGTATACAGGTATATGATGAGTAGGATAAGATTCTCATATTTCTGGACTGGTATAAATGACATGCTAAAGCGTATGCATGTACAAAGTGTATTATCGTAGCTCAAATCGGAAATCTTTCATCAGTAAGGCATTTATCAAGTTCATTCAGGGATTTATAACTCCTATGTAGCCTCAATCATGGCTCAAATAGCTCACGCAATGTTAAAGATATGAGAAATATCATGGCTTAAAGCTCAACAGTCGATTCCAGGCTTATTATAGCCCAAACGCAATCCGAGCATGGATAATTATCCCGCTAAAAAGTCCTCCATGACTTAACCATGACACATACTATTATCTAGTTAACTTGGCCACACCTTCATAGTCCACGACCCTGAAATAATTTGCTTCTGAGAACTCCCAGTCCCCAAATTCATAGAATACACGAACAACCATAATTGATCATAACTCCAGCACTCGAATGACTAAAACATCCTTCATGCATGATCATCCCACTAGGAATACTTTCATAATTTTTTTGTGCCACATAACAATAATTTGAATACTAGTAGTCTATCAACCAAGTGAGTTCTGCAATACTAATAAAATATTTGTAAGTCAAATCACAATGTGCCTTCTGAAATGTGCACCATTCTCAGGATTTACCGAGCAGTTATAACATTATCTAAGTGTCTAAAACTGACCATGTTGTCCAATATTCGTGACCTTCCATTCGAGACTGCACTGCCACCTTGCAAATATAAGTCGTAATCCCGCACAACATACCACATCTATCATGCCATCATGTGAAAAATACGAGAATCTCATTATCAAATCTGAGTCACCAGAAAATTACATACCCAATTAGTTAAAAACCTTCCATTTGCTCCCTTCCAGGAGGAAATCACAATACACAACATATTCCTCTCACCGGTAGAGAATATCCAGTTCAAACCATCAAGAACAATTTAAAATCCATTCTCACATAACCAAGCTATCAGAATTGAATCTTTCTAACTCGACCAAGCCATGCGTGTCGCCAAATCCTAGAGTATTGCAACGAAGCACTCGTAAGGCCTCCTTATAAGACATCCTAACTTAGAACCACACCGCCCTTAGGCCCATAATTCGTTGTATTCCTTCTTAAGCACCCTATAAGTACCACCACCGAGACACCCACTCTGAAGAGGTCTTATGTGAACTTAAAATTATTCTTTTCACTACTAGAAAATGGCTATTTTTCGACTGCAAAAACGGTCAGAAAGTGGTCAGAAAATGCTAATTTCTGACTATATTCACACCGAAAAGTCGTAGTCGCAAAATAGCTGGTCTGAAATAGTTTGCGACAAAATCCGTCTGTAATTTGCGACTACAGCGGTCGGAAAGTCAAAATAGAAAAATGACTAATAAATGTGGTCAATTTTCCGACTGACGCTGTCGGAAACAATTTAAATTTAATTTAATTTGATATTAACTTTCCCACTACTTCGGTCGCAAACGGTATACATAATTATAATATTATTTAATTTTATTTGAGTTTTTCCACTGATGTGGTCGCAAATCTAATTTAAAAATTATTTATTTATTTATATTTTTGATTACCGTGGTCGCAAATCTAATTTAAAATTATTTATTTATATTTCCGACTACAGTAGTCGTAGATGTTCCTGAATCTGAAATATTTTGATTCATTTTGCGACTACTATGGTCGGAAATCAATCGAAAAACTGGGAATGTTTTGCCAAATTCCAACTCTTTTAAAGCAGTACCACCTGCCAATTCAAATATACAACCAATTATTCCACAATGCTAACCAATCAATCCGCCATTTCAACCAATTAATCCACCATTTCAACTAATCAAATCCATAAAATGCAAAACATAAATATTTGTAACTAAAACATCCAAAAAGAGTTAAACATTTTTGCACCATTCAATCTAGTCTAAAACATTACAATCATAGTCAGGTGTAAATATTACCAAGTCTAAATATTCAACTACAACAAATAATAATGTCTCAAACATCATAACCATAACAAACTAAAACCCATTATCCCCGCCATCCTCGCCATTCAAAGGATCAAATGGACGTCCGCTCATAAATTTCTCCACTAGACTCTGCAATTGTTAAATTTGCTCGATCTTCTTTCCGTTCCTCCTTCAACTCTTTAACTTCTTTTCGTAATACTTTCACCTCTTCGTGATCTTGCGAATAACTCGCATCACCAGACAACAATGTCGTAGAACGGCCTACGGAATATTGTGATCCAAGACCGTAGGTTCTACCTTTCTTTGCGCCACCAACCACATGCGTCCATATTGAAGCTACATCATTGAGTGATACTTGGGTTGAGCTACCATCCTCGGAATCGGGTTGACTTTGACGCCATTCCTCAAAACGTTGTTGATAGGCTTCCTGAAATTAAAATGTTTGATATTCTTGACTCACTATAGTCAAGTTGGCAATAAAGTGATAACAATTTACCTCCATTTCAAAACAACACAGATAGTTGATAATTCTGTTCACAACCAGAGAAAGAGATACATAGCAAGTTAGTCAAAATCCTGCTAGTAAAAGATGAATAGCAAGACTAAAGATCCTGCTAGTAATAGATAATCCTTTAAAACACTGCTTCAAAAGTCCTTTCCTTGTAGTATTTGTGATAGATAGTAATAGATAGTCATCTCTTGCTTCCCTCACATATATTGATTTATCCAGCAACAGTGTTCAAAAGTCCTTTCCTTGTAGTATTTGTGATCTAGAAGGCCTTGTTTTTACCAATTTCTCCGGCAACAAATTCACTGGCCTTAATATTTTTAAAATAATGTGTTATTGGTATGATATGCTTGTTGTAAAAACCATGGTACTTTCTTGTCAATCTCCACCTACTTTGTCTTCTAGATGGAGAGCATTGCCAACTGAGTAATATATTCTTGCAAAGATTTCATGTCTGCTAAGTTTCCAATTTTTTTTCCTTTCCAAGATGAAAGATTTACCTAGCTTTTATGAAAAATTCTCAAATATCTTAGGTTGTGAAATAGTTTTCTTTTTTATGTCAAATGATATCCTCAAATTTTTATCTGTTCAAATGAAAAGAAAATGGAAAAATAGAAAGGCTGTTATGTGTTGAAAATTTGCATCAGCAACTGTTTTGAGTTGTAGGATTCATAGTTAGATTTTTAGAAATAGAATGGACTAGGAATGGATGAACCCTACATGGAAAAGTTGATTTTCAATTATTAGTTGTCCAAGAAACAAAACATGCATATAGGGAAAAGAAACGGTTATATCTATATGCCTCTAAAAGGAAATAAAATTAAGGAAAGCAAAAGCCAAAAACATTTATGCCATATGAGCATATGGAAATTTTGGGTCCCCTTCCTCAACACATTTATACATAAAATGTGGCTAAGAGTTGCTCAAAACATCAAAATATCTACTCTGTTTTATTGACAAAATTGCCAAGTGCACCTGTTACACTAGATTATTCTGATTTTCTAAGTGCCCACTAGGCTAATGTCTAGATCAAGCAAAACACATAGATTCATTTCTTGTTAGTTGATTGTATTGATTTTGCAGTTATTTCTCCCTCTTGCCTAATTATCAGGTAATGGATACTTCTTTTAATGTAGCTACTTCTTTCATCTCCAATAAAAAACCAAAATACAAAACTAGAGAGCATGCACACTACACTATCTTCTTCGTCGTACTAGTCAGCATGGTGGCTCCTCATCTATGCCTCCGTCATCATTCACTCCATACCCAAGCTACCATGTTAGTCAGAATGGTGGTTCCGTATCTATGGCTCCATCTTCATCTCCATCATCATCCACTCCTAGTGTTTCTAGGCCGCATGTCGGAGGCTCTACCATACCGCCATCCCCATCCATTGATACATCTACACTTGCTCCTGATGATACACAGACTCATACTTTTGAAGATATTGTATCATATGATTCTATTCACAGACTGATTATCATTCCTGATGGGACTACTGGGTAAGCAATTACTTTATTATTCTTTGAATTTTTGAATATATTTTTAACATATGTTAATTTTAATGCAAGTTTGTTCCCTCCAATGAATCTATGAAGGTGGTTGTGGATTGTGTTAAAGGATTTTATCGAGATGCTTGGAGTAAATGGTCAGATATACCGTATATTTACATAGATCAGATATGAAATCAATTTAGGGTACAAAATCAATTAATTTTGTATTATTTATCAAACTACCCTTATTTCATCTAATGTTTTAAATTATTTGCAGACAAGGTGTGCATGGCTTCCCAAATATTATCAGCAAATAAGTCATAATTTCGAGAAAAAAGCTGTTGATCGGCTTAAAAATCTCCTTTATAAAGCTTGACTCGCCGGCTGGATACTAAAAGACATATGGGATAGACTTAATGTGATATGGGCTTCTGAAGAATTTAAGAAGAGGAGCAATGCTGCAAAGGCTGCCCGAGCCTCCAATACGGGTGACTCATTGCACACCGAGGGTTCAATTAGTATGGAGACCCATCGAAGGAGAATGGTAACTTTCTTATTATATTTGTTTTGATTTTAACTAGATGCAATTGAACTTTATCTAACTTATTTTATTTTTTTTTGCAGGAAAAGGAAAAAGGGAGACTTGTGACTTATGCTGAGGTCTTTGAGGACAAACATATGAAAAAGAAAAAGGATGGGACAAGAGAATGGGTTGAGCCACGTGCTGCGAGGACATATGTAAGATTTTAACTACAATATAAAGATACGCTTATATCGAACTGGATCACAAGGGGGCAAAGTAAAAAAGCCAAGTGGCAGTGAAGCCTACTGAGGAGGAGGAGGAGGAGGATGAGGAGGACTCATAAATGGCACAGACGAGGTAGTGGGACCTAAAGTGTACTGAGGAAGCTAGGAATCGCGTCTTATCTTCTTTTTTTGACCCAGCGCCATATGTGTAACATAAGTATATTAAAAATATTAGATGAAATATGTTAAGACATAAAAAATGTAAAGAAATTCTTCAGCTTATTAAATGAATAACGAAAACACATAAAAACCAACATGTCAATCCTCTTCGCTTGATTGATATTTATTATTTAATTTTTCTTCATCGCTTGTTTCATTTTCATAAAGCAATTCTTCCTCATCGCTTGTTTCATTTTCATCAAGTAATTCTTCCTCATCGCTTGTTTCATTTTCATCAAGTAATTCTTCCTCATCGCTTGTTTCATTTTCATCAAATGATTCTTCCTCGCTTGTTTCACGTTCATCGGCGGGATCTTCCTCCATGTTTGTACGGGATATTCCTTCACCAAAATCGTGCTGACTTGATCTACGAGTTAGGACCGAAGGATCATATTCTTCATAGATGCCTTTATTATGCTGCAATTAACCCACTAATTCATCATCAACCCTTTCTTGAACACTTGAAATGTCATTCTGGTACGCGACTTCTAATGCATTCTCAACTTCTACTCTACCTACGGGCTTTGTTTTTATAACTATCTGCCATGTGAACTTATTCTTGCGCAAAGGATAAGGAATATAATACACTTGTTTTATATTTTGTACAATAATAAATGGATCATAGAATTCATACTCTTTCGCGTGGTTAATTTCAACTATTTTATACTTAGGGTGAACTTTTGTAGCTCTAGTAGGTATTGGATCATACCACTTACACCGAAAGAGTACCAATATCTTTTTCGGCCAACCGAAATACTCTAGTTCTAAAATCTTTTGGAGCACTCCATGATAATCAACATCTCCATCACCCTTTACCCACACCCCACTATTATTGGTTTTCTTATTATTAGACCATTCTTTTGTATGAAACTTGTACCATTGACGAAGTAATTAGACATCATTCTGACTTTATGGTCAGGTCCCCAAGCTATATCATGCAAAAATGGGTCATTAATGCCATTAACTGGATTATGAACCCATATAGAGTTAAAGAAAAGTTAGAATTTGAAAGATACAATGTACTTAATTTGTAGCCATAAAATAGAACTTACAAACTCGTTAAACCACTCTGAAAATCTTGGATAAATAGCATCATGCCTATTTACACCTATAAAGTAACTGTACGACAAAATTATAACTTTCATTGAGTAAAATAACTTTGATCTTGTAATAATCGCCTTTAATATAAATTAAGACTTACTTATAATAAGGTTGGACCTCTGGACAATTCAACAATACATGTGTTGTAGCGGACTTTTTCTCCATCTCAGTCAAATTTTGCTTTTTACTAGTTTTTAGACCTCTACCTGGTTGATTGAATATGGAAAATGGTGGTGCCAAAGGCTCATTAACACCTTCATCATCATGTCGATTTGGCCTATTTCTCAAACATGGCACATCATGTTCAAAATAATATGAACAGAAAAAAAGAAGTTTCTTTAGCCAGATGTGCCTCGCATATCGGTCCCTCAATCCTGGATCGATTTTTTACGGTCCGCTTACATTTTCGAATAGTCCTACATAGCACAATTTTTAGATGAAATAATGATTATTTAAAACAAGTCGAGGAAAAATAATTTAAAGCCATTACCTCTCGTAAGGATACATCCATCTACATTGTACTGGCCCTCCAAGTCGTGCCTCTTGTGCAAGATGAATTGAAAGATGTTCCATTACATCAAAAAATCCAAGAGGAAAAATTTTCGCCAGCTTGTTTAAAGTTAAGCAAATATTACTCTCCATGTAAGATAAGTTCTCCACATTCAATGTGCTAGAACACAACTCCTTGAAAAATAAATTTATCTCATTAATGGGTTTCCATATTCTATCAGGCAAGGCTTTGAATGCAATAGGCATCAAAGATTCGAGGAAAATGTGACAATCGTGACTTTTTATAAACGTCAACTTCCCTTCTTTCATGTCAACACACCTGGATAAGTTTGATGCATATTCATCACGCATCCTCAAATTCTTAACCCAATCACAAATCTCTCTTCTTTCATCCAAAGTGAATGTGTAGCTGTCCTTGGGCTTTTGAATCTTGTTGTTCAAGTATGTCAGGTACAACTTACTTCGCCTACAATATTCCTTTAAGTGCATCCTAGCCTTCAAGTTATCTTTTGCCTTGTTATTGACATCCATTATTGTATTAAATAAGTTGTCAAAAAAGTTTTTCTCGATATGCATGACAACCAAATTATGCCGAAGAAGATTATGCTTCCAATAAGGTAACTTCCAAAATATGCTCTGTTTAGTCCAATTATGCGTAACACCATAACCAGGTATCTTATTAGACATTGGCGACTCTATTACCTTTGGTAGAAACCTAACTCTGTTCCTAATTTCTTCTGGCGACAATGGTGACGGTGGCTCCTCAAAATCAGTTTGATTATTCATAAATGCACTAGTATTTCTCCTAAACTCGTGATCCATAGGCAAGAATCGACGGTGGCAGTCAAACCATATATTCTTTCCTCCATGTTTCAATGTGAATACTTTTGTGTCTTTCATACAAATTGGGCAAGCTAACTTTCCTACAGTCGACCACCCAGATAACATTCCATAAGCAGAAAAATTATTTATAGTCCATATCAAAGCAGCACATAATCTGAAGTTTTGTTTAGTTGATATATCATATGTTTCCACAACTTCATGCCACAATAACTTTAACTCATCAATTAAAGGTTGCATGTATACATCAATCAAAGTTTTCGGATTGCGTGGACCTGGAACAATGCAAGTTAGGAACAAATATAGACTTGTCATACACAGCTCAGGAGGAAGATTATACGGCGTAATAAACACTGGCCAACATGAATATGGTGAAGCAGAGACAAAAAAAGGATTGAATCCGTCTGCATATAAACCCAACCTAATGTTTCTTGGTTCACTAGCAAAATCCGGAAATACCCTATCAAAATACATCCATGATTCTCTATCTGACGGATGACACATAATACCGGGTGGCCTTCTATTTTTATAGTGCCATCTCATATGAGGAGCAGAGCTCATTGATGCATACAACCTCTTTAACCTAGGTATAAGGGGTAAGTAATGCATCGCCTTAACTGGAACCTTTTTTTTTGAATTTATGACTTTCTTGTAATGAGGTTGGTTACAAAATTTATAATTTTCTAAGGCTGCATCATCCTTATAGAATAACATGCAACCTTTCTCACAACAGTCAATCCTCTCTGATAAAAGTCCTAACTTATAAACCAATTTCTTTGCTGTGTAGAAATCTTTGGGTAGGCCAATTTTATTCGAATTAAGTTCATTCATAAGGCCAATGATAGAGTCCATGCCCGCTTGAGAAATACTTAAATCTGATTTAATACTTAATAATCTAACTGCAAAAGACAACTTAGAATGCATTGATCCTTCATACAATGGACGGCTTGCTTCCTGTAACTGTTCATAGAAGCGCTTAGCATTATCATATAGTTCAGACTGAGCCTCCGGGTGCATCACAAAAGCATCCCTAACCATTTCACTGAATCGAGAATTTTCAGCATTATTCTCTGCTAATGGACTACCCTCACTACAAAAAAATATTTAAAAATCAACGTTACCAACACTAGCAACATCCTCTCCATGAATAGTCCACACGTAATAATTTTTCATAAACCCTTTTTTATAAAGATGAACTTTAACAACATCTGGTTGTAATAACTTTCCGCACTTGCATTTCATACAAGGACACCTAATCACCCCTTCACTGAGAAATTCATGAGGTGTTTTTGTTTTAGCCATGAATTTAGCAACCCCTTCTATAAATTCCTCCCTCAACCCACTATGATTAGGATAAGTTCGATTATACATCCATCTACGATGTGCAAGCTCTATCTACACAAAATAAATCCAAGATATTTAACACAATATATATTAATTAGTATTATGATCGTTTAACACAAGTCATCTACACAAATACATTATAATTATAAATACATTCTAATTAAGCAGATTCTAATCACAAATACATTCTAATTAAGCATATTCAAGTTGAAAGTGCTCTCCACAAGAAAGTATGAATTCCATTTGAGCTTCATTCTTTTAAAGTAGCCTCATTTTATTTCAAGAAAGTATATTTTACTAGTAAAAGCATTTGAATTAGTGTATTTCAAGAAAGCATACCCCTAATATAAGAAATAAAAGCACGCATTTGTCACAAGCTAGGGCTTCGACATAGCTATAATTTTACAACTTACATTGGGCGAGTTTTGGTCATAATCTAGACTTTAAATCTTGAGTCCTTCGGTTTTTTCAGAAAGGTAACAGTGGAGCTTGAGTCATATTTTAATGCTAATATTTAGAAATCTAACCAAAGTAGGAGGAAACAAGTGGTCGAAGAGGAATCTTTACAAAAATAACTAACCGCATTCATTATTTACTTTTTCTAGCCGATATACATATATTATACCACATATTATGCATGGTCATACACATATTATAAATAAATTATACATATACATCAGCTAGCTATTTTTAATTTAAGCAGTTGGGTTGCAGCTCTTTGGATTAATTCTTCAGGACTAACTTTCTCCACAATAAGCTACATAAAACATTTAATTTCCAGAAACTTGTAGAGTCCCAGCCTCTGGTAAAACCATAACTTTCATATTAACCAAACAAGATCCTTGAACAAGAAAAGCTGGAGTACCTTAAGCAATGAAACAAACTGAAGAAGAAAATCGAATGTATTAAAAAAATTAA